CGTTCTGTTTAGTGGGTGTACGTGTATGGGTTTACCAACGGGCTTATCAATCAAGACATCGGTCAGCTCCAGGAGACCATTAAGAGTAGTTTGACATCTCCAATTTTTTTTCTTCACCAGTGAAATTAATATCAACCGGCCTAGTTCAAGAAGTCCTCCTAAAGAAAGATGCGCCTCCCGACGGGAAGCGAACCTGTTTCATTTTTTTCAATCAGGGAAAACGTTCCTATAAAGCAGTAATTCTCAACCATTTTTTACCCATGGACCCGTTTTTCTTTCTTTTTTTTTCTTGGTGGAAAAGCTATTTGACATCGGACAACAATATTCTATTTTTCACTAATAAAAATCATGAGGTTTTAATAATCAAAGAAATATCATATAATTAAGCTTTATTTTTAAATGAAAACTAATTTAATGCAAATAAATTATTCTACAATAATAATAATAATAGTAATAATAATAATAATTATGATAATAATAATTTTTATTGACAATAATCTTATTTGTCAATAAAAATTATTATTATCATAATTATTTGACACTCTCCAGTTTATGAAATTGTTGGAAATTTACAAAACTCCTTTTTATGCGATACTCCCTTATTCAAGAGACAAATATATATATATATATATATATATATATATATATATATTATAAATTAATTGATTTGATATGTTTTTTTTTCGCTACAGTTCCAACCATGTTTCAAAATAGAAGAAAAACCCCGAATTTAATTTTGCAATTAAATTAAAAGCATTAGTTCCATTTCATCTTCAAGCGAATTATATATAAAAAACATAATCATAATTGCAGACGTACGGGATTAACGAGACTTGTGCAGGATCACACGCCTTTTCTATTCTTTGGTTTACTAAGGGATTTGATTGTTTGGTTGCAAGTAAAAATAAGAAGTAAAATGGTTAAAACTAATGAAATAAAAAAAGACAGTTGCAGGTTGAGGGTAACTTAATTATTCATATCTATCTATCTATCTATCTATCTATCTATCTATCTATCTATCTATCTGTCACTGTTCATATCTATTCATCGATATAGTCTGCTCATACGCATGCATGTATGTATGTATCTCTCTTTCTCTCTCTCAGTCAATTCATTTGTATGTGTATATCTTTTCATATATAGCAATTTAATTCAAACTGTTTTATCTATCTATCTATCTATCTATCTATCTATCTATCTATCTATCTATCTATCTATCTATGTTAATATTAGCCATAATTGTATACTTCTAGCTTACAAGAGGTATTGTCTCATTATCTCATTATATATAATATATATATATATATATATATATATATATATATATATATATATATGTGTGTGTGTGTGTGTGTGTGTGTATCTGAGGGACGGTATCAAGGCAAATGAAAGGATTTTATTTTGTAAGAAATATTTATATGCAAGAACAAAAATTTATTGCTTTTTCAAAAACTTAAATTTAAGAACCCTCATAAATATTCATCAGGTTACTTGAAACACTACTTAGGCAAAGAAGAAATTCACATAGAAAACAATTTCAAAAACCTTCGATATCCTTATCATTTTATTCACAACGCTAAGAAAAAGACATAGAGGATATAAGACCACTTCATAACATCTATTTATTCCAAAAACCTATCCAATCTAAACAACATGAAAATAATTCTAACCACATCCAAAACTATTATGGATATGATGAGAACCCAAAATACCCTTAACAATACTAATTCCGAAGCAGGTAGATATAAAATAAATTACCAGAACTGTTCCTCATAATACATTGGGGAAACTTGCAGAAAATATAAACGTATCTGTGAACACAAAAGGGATCTTATACACAACAATTCATCAAATGAATTAGTTATACATAGAAATAAATTCAACCACAAATTTGTTCTAAAGAATGTCACGCTTATCAAAAGCGAAATTAACTCAAATTAAGGAAAATGCTCGAGAGTGCCGCTATCGAATCATATCAAAATATAAATCTTTCCAATATCTTCATTCCTGAAAGAATTACTCCTTTCCCAAGCCAAGATACATGACTACAAAAATGTTAAAAAATTAAAAGAAAACGGTTAAACCCAATATCTCATGTTATTCAAAATATATAACACATACATTAATCCCAAACTAAATTAATTTATTTACTAATTAGCATCAAAAATTCTAAAGCATCACTTACTTAGTCTCGTCCATTAGACATTGAATTCTATCACTTAATGTCCCTCATAGCTTGCCTAAATTTCAGCTAAGTTGATGAATATTTTTGAACTCAAAATCTTTGAAGACACCAATAACATCAACGACAATCTGCAAAAACTGAATGCAATGCCAATCGTCATGTTCCGTCTCCTTGAATCCTGTCATTTTATTGTTCTTTTCTCAGTTTCATCCAACCATCCGTTGCATCTCAGTGGGTTTGTCGCCTTCTTAGGACCAAACGACTAATATATATATATATATATATATATATATATATATATATATATATATATATATATATATATATATATATATATATATATATATATAATATATATATATGTGAACATTGAAGTCAACACTTAGAGGTGACAGTCTCTTTCATGCTAGTCGCATTCGTCGGGCCACGCGTGCTGTTATTTTTCTCGGTTATTTATATATACGGATCAGTGGTGCATTGTGGATAATCTATTTTGGTGGTTAATTTACCGGAATCATTTATTTGTTTATTTATTTATTTGGATTAAATTATTTTGCTTGTCATCATTTATTTTTATATTTTTTTATTCTTATTTCTTATCTTATATATTTATTCATTTTTATTTTAATCGGTGTTTTTATTAACGTAATAAAAATTTGTGTGTATCACTTATTTAATAGTTTTGTTTTAGTATGGGAAGATAAAGCTATTTATTCAGTTTTGGGGTTGATTGTTGTAGTTTATTCTACCTATTATTTTGGCGGGAGCAGTTTTAAATTTGTTCATTACTTCATGTCTTTATTTGGATTGATTTTGTTTATTTGTTTTTTCTAACGGTTTAAAGTTTTTGATTTTTAAGTAACATAGTAAAATTTGTTTTCATGTCAGCATTTTTATATGAGTTCGGATTTTATTTAATAATTTATTTTGGTCTGGAAAGGTAATGATACCTATAAGTTTTTGGTTGGTTGTTGTAGGCCGATGATCATTTGCTTATTTTCCATGATATTTTTGGTGTGATGTGCGTTTTGTTTTTAATTTCCCAGGCATACTTAGAAAGCATTGTGCTGTTCGCATATTCACTATTTCTGAAAGATGTTTTGTGTGGATAATTTCTTTGTTTTCAGGGTCCTTCAGTTACTCCTATGTATACTTTTTTTTTCATTATCTGGTGATTTTATCGTGGCTTGGTATATTACGCTGTTTTTTATATATATATATATATATATATATATATATATATATATATATATATATATATATATATAATTAAACGGACAAAAGTCCGACAATTATTTTCACATATTTTCTGTTTATACGTTATTTATATAGATACAGTTATTTACGTAAATGCTCTGTTTATAATAAACAGTATTAATTACATTTACTGACCTGAATGTACGAGAATTTTCGTAGGAATTGAACCTGTATCATGCATGTAACTGTCATTTAAACTGATGTGCCATACCATTTAGCCACAGAGAATCCGTCTGGCTAGCAATGTCAAATTACTGTTTTTAAACAATTTTTGAAGTATTTAAAAAAAAGTTTCTCGAACATTCAGGTCGGTAAATGTAATTAATACTGTTTATTATAAACAGAGCACTTACTTAAATCTTTGTATGTATAAAAATAACGTACAAATAGAAAATATATTAAAATAATATTCGGACTAAGTTAATTTCAAAATATGCTGTCATTTCTTTCGCTAAGATACGCTTCGAGCAGATATGAGTATTCGAGAAAAGATCCTGGGAAATTTATTGTTTAAAAACAGTAATTGGACTTTGCTAACCAGATGCTTCCTCTGCAGCTCTCTCTCTCTCTCTCTCTCTCTATATATATATATATATATATATATATATATATATATATAGACTGAGGCAAATGTTTACCCTAGTCATAGTGTACGTTTCCACTCTGAATAAGGAGCATCTTTTGTGTTTCAAGTTCACTTCAGACCCTCTAGTTTAGCACATTTATACAGTTCATTACTAAAGATTCGGAATAATGGTCAGCTCAATCTCTCGCTCCAAGAAGTACCTGACTTACAAGTGTCAGATTAGATTAAGAAAATTTAAGTTTTTTTCACCCCAAGCAAGGCGATAATGCCACCAAGACGCAAGGGGCTACTGGAGAGAAAGAGAATGAGAAGACTTCAGAAGCAACTGGAAAGTCAATCCTAAACAGGAAACAAAAGATAAACCTCTACTCTTGTTCAAAATACCAGAGAGTAGTGTGAACCAGTCAATAACTGAAATAGAGTTGCTCAGTCCTCACTTTCCAGTCTTGATTGAGTTCAAAATCATTGACTCGATCTTGAAGGAGGGGACGCCTGTAAGCTTCTCTATCGCTATTTCCATGGCAAATGTTCTGATGTACCTCATTCTTTACCTCCAACTATTCAGGCATTTACAACAAGACACGATACCATTCCCACGGGATCGACTCATTCATTCTTTCCGAGTTTATCATGCATGGAGAAAATATGGTCTAGACAGCTTTTTCCCAAGAACTTCCTCTTTATGTAACAAGTTTCTGTTCGGTTGCTGCCCTGAACATTCAATCTTTTTATTTTTTTCTGGGGACGGAGATCTGTATCTCAAATTCACATATAATTATCCGTACAACGGATAAAATATTTGACAAGAAATCACAATTTATTCATTGATCGTAGACAAACTTTGCCATACTAATTTCTCCAGTGGATTTTAAGTATCCTTTTTTTAAGATGGTTAACTTTTTCAATCAACATTATCCCCTATTCTCGTAACCTCATATTTTTCACTTCCTCCCACACTATTCCTCTGGCTCACGTTGAAACACCGGTTTCCGTACAAGCAACGAAGTTAAGCAACATCGAGCCTGGTCAGTACCTCGATGGGTGATCTCTTTGGAAAACCAGGTACTGTAAGCTTGGTTGCAAATATTAACATAGATAGATATTGAACAGTTTGAATTAGATTGATATATATGAAAACAGATAGATAGATAATGAAGGGGCGTACATAGATAGGTAGGTAGGTAGATATAAATAATCAAGTTACCCTCAACCTGAAACTGTTTACTTTCCCTCTCTTATTTCATTTGTTTTAATCAGAGAGCCGAGTTCCAATTCCTGTCAGGTTCGTTATATTTCTTACCAATGGGCATGGTATGAATCCACCTCTTCTCCCCCGGCTACATGTTATTTATTAAGTTTTGTATAATTAAACCATTATTATCTCTAAGAAAAAAATCTTGGCATCTAAAAATATATTCTGCCTTTAATAACCTGCAAAAGGTTGATAAGCCGTAAAAAACGAAGCAATCAAACATTTCTCCTTCATTTATATCCCATACCTCATTTAGCCTTATTACTTCGTTGACTGTAACACTCTACCTTGAGTGACTCTTGAGCCTTTTATTATGTGAAATTTGGTATTAAAAATAGAGTTAATTGGTTGTTGCCTATTATATTTTATTACTCAGAGTCTGAACATTTACAAGTCAGGAGTGCGAACGGTGGGCGAAATGTAAACTTTTACTGGAATGGTGATTTAAACAAAGTGCATCTTGTGAAAGTTTTTGAAAAACAAAAACAAAGAAAAAACATTTATGTTTGTTTTCTAGGAGAAAGCGTTAATGACAGCCGAGTTTACAGGTTGAATGTATAATTCTCACAAATCAAAACACGTGGCCTTAAAATCCAAAAGAGGTACAGGGGAAGTTCGAATGGCAACGCTTGTCTACGATTAATGAATGGATTGTGCCTACCTGTGACATATGAGTTAGGCGTACGGATAATCGCATGTGAATGTGAGATGTAAAGAAAACAAATTAATAATAATAAAAAAAAAATCATTTATCCAAAAATTTGTCCTAAATTCATTAACTGTCTGTAGCTTAAGGTATCCGGGCCATGTCTAATCTACACGCCTATTAAACGGACTGTGTCAGTCAGTGTGCGTACGTGTGTTTTCCGCAGATGTTCAGAGAAGAAAAGAAAGAAAGAAAAATGTGAAGAGAGAAATCTGACCTACGGCAAAGTGGAGAAGAGGAAAGAAAAGCTTATAGAGTGGGAAGTGGGAGAATGTCCTTTTCATAGAAGGGGAGAATTTATTAAATTCGACAGAAAAAAAATCACACCTGCAAATTATATGTTAAATTTTTTTTAGAATTCTGGAGTTGTTTCAGTATCTAAAAATATGATTTTTTTTTCGTCTTAAAGCAAACAACTGCTTTAAATGTGCATTGTTGATATCGGCTCGGAATGAGAAAGCTGAGAGCCGAGTTCGAATTCCAGGTGGGTTCGTTATATTCACTTAGGCCCAAATAGCCTTGAGAAAGGTATGAACCCATATCTTATCCCCTCCTAGCTATGGGTTGAATAGCAGGACAGACTGGTTTGACAGCCTTGGTTGATAAACAGTCTAACGCAAAAAGACCGGGAACCTACAGTTTCTGACTAGTCAATCATGAATCGAAAGAGACATGATCACCCAATCGTGTATCACGTATGGCACTTAAGTAACTCTTCTCATATACACATGCGGGCTAATGTCCTCAGCTTTGTTAGTATCATCACAACGTTTCGAATGTTGTGCCATCCAGCCTTCTTCAGTTATCTGTTGATCAAGGTAAACTAAAGAGAATTTTGAACTGGGGAAGAATAATCTCGTTCTCATGTCTAATGATATTTCGTCTCGTTTTTTTCCTTCTTTAGTAGTGTTCAGTTATTCTCAGTTTATTTTCACGGCGTCTAAGTAGGTACTAACCAGCTCAGAGATTGAACTCCAAATTATTATGTCAAATTTCTAAACCAACGATGTAATCAACTAAAGCACTGACTCATCCGGAATTAAGTTTTCTTATAATGTATCTCAATTTCTTTGGACGGAGCGTTGTCTCTGTGGAGAGAGCGCTTGTCTCTGTGGAGAGAGTGCTTGTCTCTTTGGATGGAGCGTTGTCTCTGTGGAGAGAGCGCTTGTCTCTGTGGAGAGAGCGCTTGTCTCTGTGGAGAGAGTGCTTGTCTCTGTGGATGGAGCGTTGTCTCTGTGGAGAGAGCGCTTGTCTCTGTGGAGAGAGCGCTTGTCTCTGTGGACGGAGCGTTGTCTCTGTGGAGAGAGCGCTTGTCTCTGTGGACGGAGCGTTGTCTCTGTGGAGAGAGCGCTTGTCTCTGTGGAGAGAGCGCTTGTCTCTGTGGACGGAGAGTTGTCTCTGTGGAGAGAGCGCTTGTCTCTGTGGATGGAGCGTTGTCTCTGTGGAGAGAGCTCTGTGGACGGAGCGTTGTCTCTGTGGAGAGCGCTTGACTCTGTGGACGGAGCGTTGTCTCTGTGGAGAGGACGGAGAGGAGAGTCTTGTCTCTGTGGAGAGAGCGTTGTCTCTGTGGAGAGAGCGCTTGTCTCTGTGGACGGAGAGTCTCTGTGAAGAGGCGTTGTCTCTGTGGAGAGCGCTTGTCTCTGTGGACGGACCGTTGTCTCTGTGGAGAGAGCGCTTGTCTCTGTGGACAGAGCGCTTGTCTGTGGAGAGAACGCAACTAAAATAAGGAGAGATTATGTGTCTGGGGGAACGGCTTTCACGTGACAGAGCTTTCCTCATTGCACTAAAGAGTAGAGCTTAGTAGTAAATGGTTGCGTGGGCTGGAATATTTTTGGTCCAGACCCGAGTACATGAGCTCGGTTTTCCCACATTAAAAGCTGACAGTGTGAAGCGGGTGAATAATGTGAAACCTCTATAGTCATATTATCGGATTATCTTACTGACTATAGGGGGCAACAATTTCTTTTTTCTGTTAATGCCCATTCATTGGTGCCTAATATACGGGGGTAATAAATGATTTGGTTGATTTTTCGACAATCTCCGCTTATTAAGACCACTCCATTTATTAATCTCGCTCTTTTCAACCTTTTATATGAATTTCTGACCACACTTTTATAAAGACACCTCGTTTATAGCATACATAATTATTATGAGAAGTACATCTACCGTATTGTGCCCACGTAACTCATTGGTGTGGACGTCGTTGCAAGGGACACCAACAAACATGCCCACAATACCAAGGACTCGGTGAAGGCTACCATCGGGGACATCACAGGCAACATGAATAAAGGACACCTGACCAAAACATTTAATCTCATTAGAAGCTGCTTTTAAGCCCTAATCTAAACTGATGGCAGTTATATTGAGTAGACGTGGGTTTTGCACATTTACAGGGTGCGATGGATAAATTGACGTCTGAATTATGCAAAAAATGAAAATAACACTCATTTTAACATATTCATCTACCAAAACTGCACAAAAATATCTTGAAAAAAAACTAAAGATCAAATTTATTCTATAAAATCGCCATTGGCTTCAGTCAAGGCCTCCAGACGACTTCGGAATCTCCTGCAATTCTTCTGGGCGGTCTCCTTCTTTAAGCTGGTGAATGCTGCCACAATCCTTACCTTTAATTCATCTTTGGTGCTACAAAAAGCTTTGTTCGTCTCTCACTCAAATGCAACCCATACATAATAATCAAGGGGGTTGCAGTGTGGGGAGTTAGGTGGCCAGATGTATGGGATGATGTGCAGAAATTGTCTGACAGCCAGGACGGGGTACTCCTGCTTGCGTGACATGATGCAGATTTATGTTGCCAGACATTGTGCCTCACAGAATTACTGATAAAATAAGGTGGAATCATTAAAAACACTAAAATAAAAATAAAAATAAACATTAGAACGAACACTACAATATGTTAAATTACATAGGTTACATAAAACATCTAGACACATCAGATATCAAAATTTAAAATCAAATATGGGCGTTTCCTAATCTTCATCTTTTTCTTTAACCTGCGTTAATTGTATTCTTTCGCCTCTTACACTTCATTTTGTAGATCTGATATATTCATCTAAATTTCTTTCTGAAAACGAACTGTATCGCAAGATTTTTCCATACATATGAATTTTCTCAGTCCATCATTTGGCGATGTTATATTTCAGACAAATATTGACTTTAGGCAATACAAACCATTCTTATGAGACAATTAAATTGCGTACATTATACTATAGATTGGAAATCCCACGCGCGTTTAGGAAATTCCTTTTGTCCCAGAAAATGGTTTGTATATATTCAAGCCTAGCATTCAGCATTAACGAGTTATATCTTAGTAGTAAAGATCACGTGGATTTTTTTTTATATTTTCAACCCAAGCAAGGCAATAAAAGAAATAAGACGCAAAGGGTTAGTGAGTATGAAAGAATATGAGAGGAGGTGCGATGGAGTAATCGGAGAGGAATCGGAGAGCCGAGTTCGAATTCCAGTCGAATCCATTACATTCACTTACGTGCTAATACATGGAAAGGTGTGAATAGACTGGGTTCTATAGCATTGGATGGAAACTGGTCTAGGAGAAGGACAACTCTGAATTCAAAATCTGCGGAGGGTCGTTTGGTGACCTTGTGGCATGTAGTGCACCAGATCTCTGTATTCGGCCCTCCAAAACGTGTGGATGGTCCTGTACGAAAACTTCACCACCATAATCGAATCTCATGGGCTGTTGTCGGGCTGTCAGTTTCCTAAGAACTGATCTGCTTGACCCTCATATGTCGAATTCGACGGGAGATTCAGTATATATATATATATATATATATATATATATATATATATATATATATATATATATATATATATATATATATTATATAAACAGAGAAGAATACAAGAACAGGAATTAAGAATGCAAACGATGACGATTGACATTTCATTTACACTTTTAAGGATCAAAGTTGTCTGGAAAGCAACTGACCGAAATAATATTCCACATTTGAAGAGTGCGAAATTGTTAACCATTTCAATTGTAAAAGGATGAGACCTAAAAGCCAATGTAGTACTGCGCTTAGATTCGTAAAGTCGAGTTACCAAAGTTGCTCATTCGAACAATTACCGTGCAACTATTTATAGTAAAGGCACACCTAAGCTACGTTACGGAGATGGGACGTGATTGTAACCTAGATGCCAGGTCAGGACTAATAACATTGCAGAGTCTTCATTGCATTTCATCAATAATGTTGGAATACATACAAACAACAGATCAGATGTGACAGCAATATTCAATGCATGGGCAAACGGTAAACATATAAAGGCATAAGGTAGATGATGGCGAGAATATTTTTCTAGCAAGACACAGTGAACCACATTTCCTAGCATCAAACTTAACAATTGATTCATTATAATCTTTCGACTTCATATCAGCAGAAAACGTTGGCCCGAGAAGGTAAAATGAGAGATTTTCCTGAAAGTTAGCATCAGCAATGGAAGATAGGTAGGTGCAAAGGAAATATTTTAACCTCTGATAAAATATCGTCTCAGAGACAATAATGAATTTTTTAAATATATTGATATACCTCTACAGGCATCTTTACCAATCAGAAAACAAATATTTGATAATGGTTTATATAGCGTGGCAGACAGGCTGTATTTTGGGTGGGGCATATGTAGCGTGTGGCGACGTTGTTATAAGATTACAACCAAATATTTTCTGATTCCAAACATACCGCTTATCCCCAACATTATCAGAAGATTATGGTAAGTGCTGCAGCTGGAAGATTCCGCCTTGGTCAAATAACATTAGAACGCGTTTATGCCTAAACAATATTTATAGAAATATAAATATTCTTTTAATATTTTCTTAATTGAGAATCTCTAATATAGATGATGAATACACTTTCTATCATTTTTTTTTCTGAAATTTATTATCTATTTTTTGTTGATGAGCCTTATAGGTTAACGTTTTTCAAAGTTACCTTGTAACATTTGGGCAGTTTACTTTATTGCAACGTCTATTTAACTTTGTAGAAATTCTGTAGAAACGGCATTGTGTTAAGTGGATCAGAAGATATTGTAGAATTTCTCTTCAACCTCTTCACACAACCGAAGAAAAATTAATGCAATATTCTTAAAGAACATCTGTTGGTCTTTCGATACTGCAAAATGATTAAGGTGAATATATTTGGAAAGTGCTTTGATCGCTAGAACATCCACAGTAAATCTACGTCTAGGTCCTTACAACGTTTCCTCTTTCTTGGCGGTTATTCTGTTATCGCGGTGTTGTTGTATTTAATTAAAAAAAAAATGACGGAAAATTACAGAAAAAAAAAAAAAATGAAATCGCTTAGACACTACATATATTATTCGGACTATTGTCCTCATCTTTGTTACCATATTTATTACAATGCTTCGGCCTTTCAGTATCTGTCTATATTTCTGAGATGGGGTATTATGTACATTAATTTCATTATTCGGACTATTGTCCTCATCTTTGTCGCCATGTTTATCTGAACCCTTTATTTATTTATTTTATTTTGGCTAAAGCAGTAGAGAACTACCAGAGGGGAATTAACAGGAGATAACTGATAATTGACATCCATTAGACATGGCACGTGGAACTAGAAAAGTCTACCCCATTGAGCGAAATAAAGGGTTCAGTTGGACATTCCAACCATCTGAAGAAGGCCGGAGCGTACAATGGCCGAAACTTTGTGATAAACATGGCGACAAAGATGAGGACAATAGTCCGAATAATGTAAATAGTGTGCATAATAGCTCATCTCAGAAATATAGACAGATACTGAAATCGCTTAGACTATTTATCCAAAACATATATTTAAAAAAAATTAAAAATTCTCAGTGTCCCTTTTCCTTTGAGAACATGCGTAGTAGCATCAACGTAAAGATCCCTTTAATCCGATGAAGTCCGAAAGTCGAATGCACTCAGAATATTGGTCAATGTATATTCAAACATTCACTGGAAATAACAAAAACGAAGCTGAAGACAGAAAAATCGATTTAAAGTATCCTTAAAAAAGAAATTTAGTGGGTATTTAATGAAGCATATGTAAATCAAAATATGCGACCCAAATATATCCAATTATCGATTTATTAAAAAAAAACTATTAGAGTGAATTCTTATTAAAAAACATGAAGACCTAAACGAAATCTACTAAATAGAAAACAGTGTAGGTCTACATCTTTCTGTTTCAGTAGGAAGAACATAACAACAATAATTAACAAACTATTCCTATATCTAAACCGATAATTATACATAAAATACTACACATGTTCAATGTTCACATACAACATGCCAAGATTATATAAACACCCCAACATCAGTATTCACTCTCCACTGATGTCGGTAGTTTGCTTAAAGGTAATAATTTATTCTGGCAATTACTCACTTGTACCTCCCACCACTACTCAACTGCCGACAGTTCAATTCAGGACATTGCACCTGCAGAAAAAAAAAACAAAAAAAAACCTAAAACCTTCGAAAAACAACCCCTTTTTTTCTGACTCGTTAAATATCCACTTCATTTTGACATTATCCAAACAGCCCTCGCCCGCCTCTTTTTCACCTGGAGGCTTCAGCCTCGTTCTGGGTTCACACAGTAGGCTGACACGTGTGATCTCCAAATTGACTGCTTGGTGGAGTATATGTTCAATGTGTTGCGTGTTTTACAAGTATAAAACTTACCGCTTACTGACCCAAGGTCTTGCTAGATTAATCTAAAAACTAAATATATTATTATAAGATGATTATTCATTTTTATGCAACGTGT